AAAACCGACGGGCCGGCGCCAGTTATGGGGTGGACCGGCGCCGGTTACCCCCATTTTTTTGTTTTCTTCACTTTTTGCTCCATTTGACGCCCGTTGTTGACCCCGATGTGCCGGTTCTTGGTCCCTTTTTCCCCATTGACACTCGTTTCTTCATTTTTGACGTCTAAGTGCGATTTCGCTCAAATTGGGATTTTTATCTGTTTTATCCTTGAAAATTTGTACATATAATCATAATTACCTATATAAAATATAGATAATTGTTGTGCTTATCAACATGGAAAGTGGCCGACTTTCTATAACCCTTGAAACAACGTCGGTTCCAAAACCGACATAGAATGTCGATTTTAACCGTTATAGAATGTGTTTTCCCACTAGTGAAAGTATGTATAAGATGCATACAATAAAGAACAACAAACATTTCTATCTACCGGATGCACAAGAACATGTATCTAACACACAATCACCTATATCTAATGCATATGAGATGACCTCGTACTCAAAAAGAAAGTAAAGCTTGTTGGATGTAATATATACAAACTGATATGTAATGCACAATAAAGTTATGCAAATTCTAGAGATTGTGCAGTTCAATAACATAGTAGTGGGAGCATGTTTGTATTGAATAACATACTCCGTATTTGAGTTTACAAAGCATAGGTGTGCACTACTGCAGTGGATTTGTGCATTAATATGCAAATGAATTAAGTGTATGGGCGTATAAAGTTATGTGCACTAGTATGATGTTTTAGTGCATGGGGCGGAATTATTTGTAATAAAGTTATGTGTACTAATATGATATTTTAGTGCATGGGGCGAAATCATTTGTGATAAAGTTATGTGCAGTAGTATGATGTTTTATTGCATGGGACAGAATTATTTCTGCTAACTATTAAAATACCTATAACAGTTAAAATCTAAAACTAAAATAGTGGTTATGTGCATTTGATGGAATAATTGAATGAAAATGAATGATATTTTGTTTCTATAGTTGCACAACTCAATTTACGTGAGAAATGAAATAAGATGGAAGGAGAATTTGAAAAAAGGAATGAGATTTTGTTTCTATAATTGTTGACGTGAGAAATAAAGTAAAATAATATGGAAGTTATTCAATCCATTAATGCTTTGGACAAACGAATTAACTACAAAGTCGGTTACCAAAACGGCCAAGTTTAATATGGACTAAAATAGCCTTTACTCCTATTTAATTTATCGAAGATGAGTTTAGATTTTGGATGGCTGAGATGTGCTCTCACGTTCTCACGTTAAGACTCGTTCTCATTTGTACCAAAATACATACATACATACATACATACATACATACATACATACATACATACACACATACATACATACATGCATATATATATATATATATATATATATATATATATATATATATAGGGAGCGGATTAGGTGAGAAGTGCTCTTAGGCTGAGAACTGCGAAGTTAAACTTATAGACTGATTATATGAACTTTTAACCAATAAATCATAACTTATAGACCCATCGAAAATAATTACGAAAATTCCACCGCAAAAAAATAATTACCGAAACCTGGAAAAAAAATTGACGCGGTGGCATTTTCGTAATTATTATGGAGAGTTTTATAAGTTATGATTTATTGGTTGTAAGTTCCTATATTTAGTCTATAAGTTTACTGCGTTGTAAGATCAGATGCAAATCTAAGGGCTGAGATTACTTCTCACTTCTCATTTTAAGGGGCACTTCTCACCGGATCTTTTCCCTATATATATATATATATATATATATATAGAGAGAGAGAGAGAGAGAGAGAGAGAGAGAAGATCATGTGAGAAGTCCCCCTTAGGCTGAGAAGCTGCGAAGTTAACTTATAAGCAAAAAACACGAACTTTTAACCAATAAATCATAACTTTTATATATATATATATATATATATATATATATATATATATATATATATATATAAGTTAGGGGAGGGTTCTAGTGAGAACCCCTCTTAAAATGAGAACCTGTGAGAACCCCTGACAACCGGTGGTATTTTTGGCTGAAATTTTTTATGTATGTTCCTCATCAAGTCTAGTTCATCCATACCAAATTTGAGCAAAAAATCCAATCGGGAAGGACGTCAAATTATTTTTGAAAGAAAACTGTGTTTTATGTATATTCCGGACCAGTTTTCTTTCAAAAATCATTTGACGACCTTCCCGATTGAATTTTTTGCTCAAATTTGGTATGGATGAACTAGACTTGATGAGGAACATACACAAAAAATTTCAGCCAAAAATACCACCGGTTGTCAGGGGTTCTCACGGGTTCTCATTTTAAGAGGGGTTCTCACGGGTCATTTGACGACCGGGAAGGTCGTCAAATGATTTTTGCAAGTTAACTGGTCCGGAATATGTATTTTCCGGACCAGTTAACTTGCAAAAATCATTTGACGACCTTCCTGATGGAATTTTGAGCTGAAATTTGGTATGGACAAACTAGACTTGACGAGGAACATGCTCAAAAAATTTCATCAAAAAATTCCACCGGGAAGGTGCCCAAACGGGCTCGGCCGGACGGGGCAGCCCGTCAGGCCGGCCTGACATGAAGAGCACTCTATATATATATATATATATATATATATATATATATATATATATATATATATATATATATATATATATATATATATAGGGAGCGGATCAGGTGAAAGTGCTCTTAGGCTGAGATTACTTCTCACTTCTCATTTTAAGGGGCACTTCTCACATGATCTTTTCCATATATATATATATATATATATAGGGAACTCTTCCGGTAAGGTATACCTTACCGGAGCCTCCGTGCGGCCTCCACGTTTTGAGGGCCTTCCCGGTGGAATTTTTAGATAAAATTTTTTGAGCTAGTTCTTCATCAAGTCTAGTACATCCATACCAAATTTCAGCAAAAAATTCAATCGGAAGGCAGTCAAATGATTTCCTCATCAAGTCTAGTTCATCCATACTAAATTTGAGCAAACAATTCAATCGGGAAGGCCGTCAAATGATTTTTGCAAGATAACTACGCCGGAATATACACATAAATCACAGTTATCTTTAAAAAATCATTTGACGACCTTCCCGATTGATTTTTTTTTGCTCAAAAACACAGTTATCTTTAAAAAATCATTTGATTCATTAGGCTTGGTGAGGAACATACACAAAACATTTCAGCAAAAAATACCACCTGGAACCACCTCAAATTGAGGTGGCCGGACCACCCTTTGTCCGGCCTGGTCGGATATAAGTGTGTGTGTGTGTGTGTGTGTGTGTGTGTGTGAGCTTAATACAAATGGGTCTTCCCATGAAAAGTAAGAAGTGATCTAAGCCCTTGATCACTTAAAAAAGAATGAAGTAGATAAAAAATCAAACTATAATATACTAAACCCAAATGTGCAATACTTAATAGTAAATGTGCACATTTACCTCATTAAAAAAGTTACAATTTGACTTTTATACTTCTTATTTTATTTTGAAGCGTGATGCACTTTTACTATCTGGTATTGCAATTTTTCAACACAGTGATGCACTTTTACCTTAGCAGGTCCAATAAAAGTTGTACATATTTACCATATTGCCACTACGTTTTTACTTTTAAATTTGATACGATCCTTCCATTTTATCAATTTATTGGCCTAGATTAGTTCTTATTTTTCACCCAGGGATCCGTTTTTGTTTGAACCAATCCCTATATATGGCCCGCTTCCGTAAGAACGCTCCTTAACGGTGCACATTATGATTCCAAAGGTGCACATTTATAGTTAGAATAATGTAAAGTCCAATTGTGCACATTTGTGGTTAAACAAATGCACAATTCAAACACACATTTCTCTTCACATATGCACGATATCCAAATACAACGCTCTTAAATCATTCTTATTTCTCTCATTAGATCATGTCCTCGTTTGAGCAAAATTATATGTGTGTGTAAATTCACATATCATACTCCATATTTTCATACAAGTAATTGAGAGTATTTCATGTATTCAAATTAGCCAATTGTTAATCTAATTGTAATAGTATGTATTTAAGCCATGGTAATCGGAGGTACATATAATTTTGCTAAAAAAGTTGGAAAAATCCTATTTGTATACATAATTTGTGTACATTTGGCACACTTTTCTGTGTACACAGACATCTCGTTTAGAAAAAACAACAATAACAATTGTCTGTGTAGACATTCTAGTGTAAAATATACACAAAATATGCACACCCCCGTAGTTACATGTGTAGACATGCAACTCATTTAGAAAAAACAATAATTGTCTATATAGATATGATATACAAATGATTTGCATAACAAGCTAAGGGAGTGTTTGCAACTGCTTCTGCTTAAAAAAAGCACTTTTGGAGTGATTTTGGAAAAAGTGATTAGTAGTAAAAGTTGATAGTGTTTGAGAAAAAAGTGATTTTGAAAAGTAAAGTTGGTAGTGTTTGGTAAAATACGTGCTTTTTGTGTAATAGAAAAAGTAAAAAGCAGTTTTCACACGAAAGTCGATAAAAAGTAAAAGTTGGTAGTGTTTGGTAAAATAAGTGATTTTTTAAGCCAAAAGTTGACAGTGCTTTTTTTAAGTAGTTGCAAACACTCCCTAAGAATGGTTGAAATTAAAGAGTTTAGAGGGCCAAGAAATTGAATAGTAATCGGATGTATTATACATGTTTGTTCAATTGGGCTATAAATTAGTACACACTAAAAGCCCATCGGATAATATGGGCCATCACCTTTCGCGCAAAGTCCAATTTGAAACAGCTTAGAGCATCTCTAATGCTATAATGTGCACGGCCACATGTGGCATCAAAGATAGCCACAAAAATATTAGCAAATGAATTATCTCTCTTCTTATTTGAATGGTTTTATACAAATTTGGTAAATTTTGTTCCACAATGTCAAGAAGACCGTCTAAATATTGACATTGTGATTGACATTGCAGAGAAAAACTTACCAAAAATTGTATAAAATCATTCAAATAAGGAGAGAGATAATTTATTTGTTAATATTTATGTGGCTATTTCTGATGCCACATGTGCACCGTGCACATTATAGCATTGGAGATGCTCTTATTCAAATTAATTGATCTCGATTTAGATCAATTCTACAGACTGTGTTTCGCCGACCCACTATATTCACCATAAGGAATTAGCAGTGAAAAATTGCCCTGCGTTTTCCATCTGTAATTTTTTTCTTCGTTTCCATTTTCTACCTCCACGTTTAATCGTTCTTCTTCTTTTCAACCTTTCCACGTTCCTATTTTCTTCTTTCAGAGAGCGCTATGGGCGATCAGGTTGAGAAGGGAGACGAATTCTTCAGGAAAGCTGAGAAGAAGCTTAACGGCTGGAGCGTGTTCTCCAACAAATACGAAGACGCAGCTGAGTTGTACGAGAAAGCCGCCAATGCCTTCAAACTGGCCAAGTCGTGTACGATATTTTCTTTGTCTTTGTTCTTTGAAAAATTATGTACTCCTCTTCAACTCTTTTCCTTGATTTCTACCCTACGATTTCTAGATCAGTTATTATTTATGCTTCGCATTTTGATCGGACTGCGATCTGTTTTTGGTTTGATCATTGACATTGAATTGCTTTTATCTCTTATATTAAGTTAACAACTACTTTATTGCTTGTATGTCTTAGATTAGATTAAAAAAAACTCGGAAGCTGAAGCTTTTTTCTGTTAAATGTGGTTTGGATTATTTTTGTATAATCTTGGATCAAAGTGATTCTCATGTAGGATAAATGTAGACTCTCTATCCCAGCGAATTCAGCTTAGGTAGGATATTACCTTAAGATAGAGTCTACATTTTGTGGTGCAAATGTGCAATTGGAAAGTATGTTGGGGAAGATGTCATTCATTGTTTAATAATCTTTAATGGTCTGATCGGTGTGGCACTGTTCGCTTAATGAAACAAATTAGTAGGCAGCTTGGAGGAAAGTAATTTGTTCTCTATGTTGTTTTACCATGTTGTTGACTTGGTTGATATTACATCTCCTTAGGGTCTTTTTGGAAGTTATAAGATACCAGTGAAGGAAAAAGAAGGGTGAAGAAAAGTTGGGGGAATATCATCATATATAAACTCATTCGTACCAAGATTTATGGCCAACAAATTATATTGCTCAAGTGTAATTTCTTCCCAAATTCTGTTTTGTTTGAAAATGTATTTGCTTTAAAGCCTTCGATTCAAAGCCCTGAGCAAATCGCCGATGCGCGTTAATAATAGAGTTTAAATCCACCTTCTGTTTAGAGTTAAAGTCCTGCAATTTTTAACCTGCAATTTCAGAAAGTGCTTAACTTTTATATTGACGATTATTAGGTTCTTAACCATTAACAAAGCTTGTTGGAAAAGTCTTTGTTCAACTTAGAAAGTTATGATGTTTTTTTTTTAAAAAAAATTGGAAAAGACTTTGTTCAAGTTCAGGTTAGGAAGTGAGTAATCTTATACCAAATTCAGAAGGTGATAATGTTTTTTAATTGGAAAAATCTTTTTGCTCAAGTCAGGTTAGGAAAATGAACAAAGCTGTGAGAATTGCATTGTGCTGCATAGTTTCTAATGTTTGGAAAGCTAGAAGTGCATATAGTATTGCTAAAAGCAGGCTGGTTTATAAAATCCTGGAATTTTTAACTGGCTGCAATTTCAGAAAGTGCGTAACTTTTATATTGAAGTTTATTACGGGCTAAACCATTAACAAAGCTGATTGGAGAAGTCTTTGATAATGTTTTTTTAATTGGAAAAGTCTTTGTTCAAGGTAGGAAGTGATTGAACTCATACCAATTTCAGAAAGTGATAATGCTTTTTTTAGTTGGAAAACTCTGTTCCAATTTAGGTTAGAAAATCAGTCAAATAATGCAGGGGATAAGAATAGGTGAGAAAAACCTTAGAAATAGTAACATGACTTATTGTTAGTATTACAATTTATAATTATCTTCGTATGTAAGTGGCACTGGATTTATTTTCCAAGTAATATTTAGTTGTCTGAGTATTTAGGTGGAAAAGTCAAATTACAATTTTCTTCTTCTACTAAGCTCATGCTGTAAAAGCAAAATACATGACATATGTGTGATGCGGCTTGTTTTCATAAGCGATAGAGGCGCACAGTCGCAAGACCATTTTCGTAGTCATTTTTTGCGTTGATAAGTTTTTAGTTAGAATTAGCTTTGGTTATTCTATGCGTGGATTCTAGAATAATATTAGAGCTAAATGGTAGAACATATTAAAACTAATTGAACCACTAATATTCTTAAACAACCACAACCAGCTTTTGTATTTATTAGAATGTATTCAAATTTAATCTTTTCAAATAAGGTTTGTTTATAAGATGGTTGATCGATGATAAGATTCCTTACAATTCTATTGTACAACCTCTCTACCACACTATCTTTGGATACATTGTGGTGAATCTTGACCGCATGTTAGTATTCGGTCTTTGACCTCCATGTGGGATATATCAATATTTCCTTGGGTTAGTTTTAGTGCAGTTTTGTATGTGATTCGTAAAAGGAATTGCCTGGAGGACTGGAATTGACCTGATCTCATTTTGTAGTATCCAGAACTGTACATGGTTCTTGATATGGGTCCGTGCCTATCTTTGGAACATCAAAGTGATACATGTTAACGAAAAGAATCCTGTGGTTGATGTTGAATTTAAAGTAGGTATGAGTTTGAAACACTTCACATTCCAAATATGACACTGGAAAATGAGAGAAAATAGTGGGATGATGATAAAAATAATTAATACTACATTAATAAGTGAAATTTGATGCGAGTCTTTCTCATAAATTTTTTAACTAAATTTGTTTTTATACTAAATTTAATAGTGGGATGACACTGAACTTTACTTTTAAACAAAACATGGAACTCTTAACATAATAGCTTTTGATTGTTTTTGTGTTTTCAATTTAAGATAGACTTTAATAGAATTGCTCCCTAAATGTGAGTCTACATTGTGTGTACAGTGTACGTATGTGTGCACATGCATACACCTAATTTAAGCTGACTAACGGTGCACACACCTAATTTAAGCTGACTCGGTTAGTCAATTAGGAATACAACAAGTATAAAAATTCAATCATAGATGAGGTTGATAAAGCCGATGATTATATGTTCGGTGAGACATTAGTGGAGTTATATAGTTATCTATGCTCATTTCTAGCTTCTTCTTCTAACTGAGGTAGTGATCAGTTACATGATTTACATTGTGTAGAATATCTTAATAACATTAAATGTTTCGGTGTGTCAAGTCATGAGTTAAAAGTGAAAGTGGGGGGTGTAAGTGATGTTTATGAGGAGCGATGTTCATTCATTTGGATTGTTTGATCGTACACGACTTTTAGTGATTATATTTGGATCTCATATTATTGGAGTTCAAATTATACACAGAGTAGATGCCTGTGATCAGTTTCTTATGCCTAAATTTACTTTAACACCATCAGATGTTAGAACTCCATTATATTTCATCACAAACAGTTTTCATTAATGGTTAATTATGCATTGACCCTTGATATGACTCACGAGAAGTCGATGGTAAAGTTGGGATCTTCTTCTATTACCCATAACATGATATCCAGAATAATAAGTTTATCTGAAGTTTGTGATTTGTGATAAATATGGATCATCAATCAAGTCTGTGGTAAACGTTGTATACAAAGAAACTTATAACACTATGTATTTTTTAGTTTCATGGACTTACATTTTAATTTAATTCTAGATTTTATTTAATATTTTTAATGAATTGATGAATATCAAATTTTTATAATTTTTATATAATTACATCTAAATAGTTATAGAGGTATGTACTTCACTCCCGTACAACGCACGGGTGGAGTAACTAGTAATCTTTAATGGTCTGATCGGTGGGGCACTGTTCACTTAATGAAACAAATTAGTGGGCAGCTTTGAAGAAAGTAATTTGTTCTCTATGGTGTTTTAGGATGTTGTTGACTTGGTCGATATTCTATTACTTACTTAGGGTCTGTTTGGAAGTTATAAGATACCATAAAGAATTTAACTTCATTTTCCATGGTGAAGCCAAACATAAGAATTTAACTTCATTTTCCCATTCTCTGTCATTTTCCTTGATCCAAAAACACCCTTACTGAGCTGGCGTCTGATGTCAACCATAAAGATTTGTACTGTCTGCCAAGTATTTGTGCGTTATTTTTTATAAAGTATTATCGTTGATAATGATGATGATGGTGATGATCTAGGTGTTATGAAAATGGGTAACCCTTGCAACTGTTAACCAATACTTAGTTTCCTTAACATAAGAGTCAACACCCTGCATTTCTCTTCATCCACTGAACCAAATATCTAAGGCATTTAACTAGGCAGATTTGCATCTGGTAGCTTACTTGGTGCTTATTGTTTTAGGGGATAAAGCCGGGGAAACATATGTCAAAATGGCTGAGATTTATGAGAAGGTATGTGTATGGTCAATCTGAATGTGTGTATTTCCTTTCATTTTCTCTTTAACTCATTCTACATCCTTGTTTGATTTAATTTTTGCAGCTAGATAGTATTCACGAAGCTGCTAATGCATATGCTAGTGCTGGTAAAAACTATAAGAAAACTAATCCTGAGGGTATGTTCATATATGTACTTAGAAATTATATCCACACTTGCAAGTTTTTCCTTTTACACGCTTCCTTCCTTACACTTGTATAAATCCATATTGTATCATAAAGAGACATCTTACCTCTTTATTGTGAACATGGAAATTCTGGAATTTAGTTGGTTGCGACTTCTTTCAACATTCAAATAGATTCCTCTTAGTATTCAAGTTTTTAATTTCACATTGGTTGGGCCTGGCATGGTGGCTAGTGGATAGATGTTATCCTTTTACTTATGTGTCTCATTAGTTTTTTCTCGGGTTCTCAGCATCTCCAGAGGCTGCTCCTTATACCTATTGTTTCTTATTATGTTTCGTGCTTTAAGTTAGGTTGTGTACGGAGGGTGCTGCGCCGCTGCTTCAGATTGCGTTGGTAGAGGGCCAGGTTGAGGTGAAATGTAGGATGGTAGAAGAGTAGCAAGGAGTTTACTCAGAGAGTCTAACGATGGATCTGGATAGTGGCATAGTAATGAACAGGATGCGGGCTGCGGCTCAGCAGCTACCTCCTCTCTGTGTCCTCGATAGTGTTGGTGAGGTTACTGGGGAGTGGGTGGAGCGGGTTTGGTAGTGGACGCGGGGATTATCTTGCCGATACCTCCTGAAACTGTTTCTAAAGATAATCCCGAGAGCTGGTCAAATAGGGGCTGTAAAAAGCCAACAGTGGATAGTGACAAATGTGACATGCATTTGGTCACTAATCAGGGGCTTATGGGTGGTTGGTTTAATTTTGATTTCTCTGTTGCTGCTGTTAGAAGTTGGGTCACTAGTAGAGTCTTATATTATTGCATCGGTCAGCGATTAGGGTAGTGTCACCATTTCTATGTCTTTTCATGTTTGAGGTTTTGCTTTCACTTATGGTGTTGTACTCTTTTTTCCTGATTAATGAATGAAGCCCCCCCCCCCCCCCCACACACACACACACAAGAGCTCTGGTTTGTGATTCTTATTTTCCAACACTCAACAATGATTATGTTGCAGAAGCTGTAAACTGTCTAAGCAAAGCAGTAGATTTATTTAAGGTGAATGGACGGCTGGATATGGCTGCAAGAATTTGTAAGGTATATATCTTTGTTAGCTGTACAAGAAACCTAGTTCTTTTTCCTGAGGTTTTACAACTATAAAGCCTATATCTTTGTCAAAACATCGTGCACTTATATTAGTTATTTCTTGGGATAGCATCTACTTATATCCTTGTGTCAACCTAGGGATATTTTGTATGATTAATATTTATCCAAGCATTCATGCAAATCGTGTGTGCAGGAAATTGCTGAGATATACGAGAAGGATAAAAAAATTGCTAAAGCCATTGTCTGGTATGCACGAGCAGCTGATCTTTTCGAGGATCAAAAGACAACTGCAAATCAGTGCAAAGAGAAAATTGCTCAATTTTCTGCCGAGTTAGAAAAGTAAGCCTACTCATATCCATATATCTTGCTTGAGGGAAACAGAATTATAAAGCTTTGTACGATATCACATATTTTTGTTTAATATTTGTAAGAACTGAGCTTTTTTTTTTTATCTATACACTAAATTGTTTGTGTTTTCTCAGTTATAAAGAAGCAATTGATGCATATGTGGAGATAGCCCAAGATTCTGTTAATAACAACCTGTTGAAATACGGGGTTAGAAAGCATCTTCTTAATGCTGGTATTTGTGAACTATGTAAGTTTGATGTTGTTGCAATCACAAATGCCTTAGAGCGATACCAGGTAAAAGTGTTTATCTTGATGTTTTGGGAAATTTACCAGGAGTTAGTCCGTTTCGGTAATATATATAGATTTTACATTTGCAGGAACTGGATCCAACATTCTCAGGAACACGGGAGTATAAACTATTAAGGGTATATGGAATTCAGTTAGTCTTCTCTATTCTACCTAGCATTTTGTAACATGGAAAATAAGCTAAGAATGCTCTAGTTTGGAGATGTTTACAGTTTAGTGGTGAAAAGAGAATTCGGTTAACACTGTTACTTCATAGAAAGAAAGTTGATTTCTTCTGTATACTCAGAAAATATGCAGATATAGAAATGATTTTTTGGAGTGTAAATGTGGAGTGATTTTCATGCTTCCTTGAGATCAAAGGATTCTCCTATCCAATAATGGAAATGCATAATTTCCTAAAAGAATTCATTGTCATTTTATCCTCCACCCGTAAACTGTAGGCTTTCATTTACTTGGTACCAGATATGCATTATTTATTTCCCTGGGTAAAAGATTCCTTAAGAAGGATATTCATTGATATTGTGATCACTGGCAGTATGAAAGAATCCACATTGATCCAATACTATTCATAGCTAGACATATTTTAATTCGAAACTTTTTTGTCGCTATTCCGTGTAACTGTTTACTACTGCATTTCCCTAAGTTTTTATGAGACATCAATTTGCAAATTTTGGATTATCATGTCACTTAAATTGGCTACTTCTATTTCAAGATGACACAAAGACACAATTGGTTCTCAACTACTCTAATACGTGTTTCTGCAATATGTGTTGTGATTAATAAAAACCTGCAGGATCTGACTGCTGCATTGGATGAGGAAGATGTTGTAAAGTTCACAGATGCTGTCAAGGAATATGATAGCATGACTCCGCTGGTAAATCTGAATATTCCATTTCAATCTTACTCTATTCTTGGATGTGATTTTTCTTATTTGATGTTTGGAATTTAAGATCATTGTTCTTGAAAAAGGGGTGGATAGGGTGGGGGTGTCAGCTTGAGCCCTAATTTGGAACCCTGAAAAAAGTATCGGGTGCTAACTTTTGATACCCGCAAACTGATCCTAAAAACTTAAGGTGCATTTATGGTCTTTGTGATCCGGGTCCAGTTCAAAAGCTGAGCTTATAAAATCAACTATTTCCGCCTTTGTTTGGGATATGGGGAAGTGACACGCAAATTAAGAAAAAATCAGAGTTGTGTTATTGATTTAAATTTGTGAATTCTGTATGAATCCTAATGACAAAGATTTAACAAACATTGTGGGACGGTACACCTTTTGCCCACAAATACAAACATCAATATATCTAGAACCATTCATTCATGTCAGGTCAACTTTATTTTCGGCCTAAAGTGAAGTTTATGATCCAATTTGTTTTGCTCATTAGTATCAACTATTAGCTTCAACCATTAGATAAAAAAAATTAAATTTTCCGAGCTTAATTCTGGTTTTTGACGAATTAATAGTACCGTTAGATAAGTGTTGGAGGTGAAAAAGTGAGCTTGTAGGTCGAAATAAGATCTTACGAGTTAAATTAATAGTTTACTTGTTAAATCTTCACCTATTAGGCTTCATACCTAAGTTTAAAAAAGCACGCCTCAAGCAAGGCGCAGCTAGGTGATGAGTATATCGCATCTGTTAGTCCCAGGCGCAGTAGATACCCAAAGGCGCGCCCTATGACCCTATCCGACGCCTTTTGCCGCTTTCTGCGCTTCTGGAAGGCGGCCGCCCCTGGCGCCTCTGGGATGAGTATCGACTTATCCTTGAGAGACCTTTGGCGGTTCTCCCCTTGCCTTTCCTTATTCTTCCGCTCCTCTCTCTTAGCATCGTAGAGTCTCAGGTTTTTTTTAAAGGAGTCGCAGGTTTGTTACTACTCCGTATGTTTTGGTTTCCTTTACTCTTCCTATTCTTTTTTATTTTAAAATTATCATACAGTTTCAATTATTTAAATATTAACAATTTAGCAATCTGCCTTGAACCGTAAACTAAATCAGATGGTTTATCAATTTTAAATAATAATAATAGAGAGGCTTTCTACAATTAGATTGTTTAAGTTTTTACTTTTAACAGTTAAGTATAAAATTAATGTTAATCGTGTGTTATATGATATGTAGTAGTTTATTACATTATGATTAATAATGTATCATAATAGTTTATTACAGTTTATTATGATTAATAATTTATCATAACTGTTTATTAAAAAAAGTACTATTAAATGTTTATAAATTAGTATTGACCGTTTATTTGTTTTACATTATTAACATATTACTCTAAACAGATATATTATCCGTCCCTTATAACTTTGCCAACTTTCCTTTTTTGAATGTCCCATTAACTTTGCCACTTTCCCATTTAAGTAAAGAATTTGTGGTTCCAGTTAATTCTCTCTGCACAAACCTCAACCACACAGTTTTTACTTTATTAATCCTCGTGCCGGTCAAACTTGGCAAAGTTATTAGGGACGGAGGGAGTATTATTTTGGAAGAGACAGTTTATTAAAATAATTACCGGTAATTGTTAAAAGAATATTATTAAGAGTTTATTATGACAGTTTATAAATATTAGCACTTGATTATATAATGGTTTTATTAAAAAATTGCTATTAATTGTCTACGAGTACACTACTTTGCTTGTGAGTTTTCTACTTTACTTTTTAATTACATTATGAATAGGCATTTAACATATTTGTTGTTACTGTTTGAATATTTTTTTGTGATTGAATTTGGTGTTAATTAAGCTTGTTTCATGGCTTGAGGTATTTTAGTGAAAGTTATCATTGTTTGGGGGAGGCCTTCAAGTATAAATATAGTTTACCAAAGTTATATTGTTAAGTTCCGTGAGGAGGGCGCCTCGCGGCCTCGCGCCTTGCGCCTTGGGTAAATCAATGAAATCGCCTCATGCCGCATCATGCCTTTTAAAACTAAGCTTCATACACACGCGCACGAAGATCATACCTGGTCCATATATTTATAGACCGAGGACAATATGAGAAGAGTGAGACTTAAAATACTATGGAGTAAATTTGAATAACATTTTCTTATTATAAAAAAATCCAATACATAAAACTAAAGACTTATTATGTCAATCAATTAAAAGTCATCAAAGAAGTTAATAGAAAGAGACTCTTCAAAACATTCCTGTACGGAGTTTATTTGAGTATTTGATAAATTAAGATCAAAGATCCAACATATCTAAATCAAATGGAACCAGTGCTACTTGCAATTACATTTTCAGAATTAGGAAAAGCTGCATAGGGTATATCAAGTGCTACAATTTACATTGTTGTAGATCAAAACAAATTAAATATTTATTCGTTCTAAACATAGCAGTTTAATTTTTAAATTTTCAATTACCAGAGAACCATAGAAGATGAACTCAAGGTGTATGAGAGAAGAAGAAACTATTAAAATTTATACTTGTAAGTACATGACAAGCCTTTAATGAATTGGACGAAGTGGTGAAGTGTGCTCGTGAGGATAGGTGGCAAAGTCTATTTCTGAGGGTCTCCTTAGGCCCTCTGGAATCTGGTATGGAAAGTGTCTAAAGTCTAGGTTTCTAGTGAATTATCAAGGAATGGAATTATCGAGAAGATTCGAAGCATAATTTCGTGATTCAAGTTTATTAATATTCTGGGCTGTAGTGAACCAATTGGCCCTGTGCATAGTGCAAATGCCCTCCTGCTACCTAATACCTATGCTTCAGAACCAGCTCTTGCACAGACATGTAGTAAATACCACGTTCACTAAAGTTTTTGCTAATACTTTCTTGTCCCGATGATGGTAGCTTTTTTATATACTAATGATTAATATTTGTGGTTTTAATTGCCATCACTATCGTTAAACTTATATATCCAAATAATAAGATGCTTTGCTTCTGAGAAAGTTACTTTGAATCTCACTGATTATCGTTTACCAGTTTCTTAAAAAGCATTCAATGACGACAAAAAAATATGAAATTGTATGATAATGGAACAGGACCCTTGGAGGACCACTCTTCTGCTTAGGGTGAAGGAGTCGATCAAAGCTAAAGAATTAGAGGAGGAGGATCTTACTTGAACTCCCAATGTAGGCTATGCCTACAACAATGATTTGTTCTACTGGTGTGTTATGGTCTTTATCGTTCTGGTTTGAATCTTTCTTTAACATGACAGTCTTGCGAGTGGAATATTCGTGATGTATATTGATGAATGAGATTGAAATGTGGGTCGAAATTTTTTAGTGTCGAATTGGTTTGTTTATAACTTTATGAATTATATTATTTGTAGTATGTTGAAGCTCATATATGAATTCAAATATGATATGTCCGACAGTCCAAAGCAGATCTCAACCTTTTAAGGCCAAACGTATTTTGCATTTTCATGCATGTGTCATGTTCATTTTTAATTCACACTGATGCTTACGCAGTTCCAAACTAAACATCCCATCACGTTTAATGTTTGTTTGGTTTAGAATGATTGCCAGTCAAGAAAGAAAGACGCGAGAAAGAGAATAAAAAGATAAAGAAATGTGAAAAACGTGTGTTATTGGTGTTCCTGGAAATCATTGATCACTGGAGGAACATAGGGTAATAGTGGATTAGAATAAAAGGTGATTTTGTTTGGCTCATAAAAAGTGTACTACAGATTTGTGGCAAACTAAAAGTGCTGATAAAGTATGTGTGAATGTGTGATTGTGTGAAGTTTCAAACAATTACCTACATTCCTGGCTTCCTGCTTACTTTTTTGGGATAGCACAGACTTTTTCAGAAAATTATCTTACTCATCCGCTAGGAATCAATATTGCACTTGAGAATTACCTCATCAAGTTACATATTTACAAATTACAATACAAGGTAATTGTAGGATATCAAACGAAAGTGATATACGTTTACAAGCTTGATAATTTTTAATGTACGCAATTACGTCATCAAGTTACATATTTACAATACAAGGTAATATCACGTCTTCCTCAAGTCATTATTTCATCGTAGGATCTCTTTGTATCTATCGAGATACTCATAAGTCATAAGCAGTCAGGCTCCAACATCACTATATAGCATTATAGCCTATATCTATGTTTCTAATTTATTTTTGGTTAATGAATCTCATCTAAACCATACAACCATTTAAATATACTAGTTTATTTTTAATTTATTTTTGGTTAATGAATCTCATCTAAACCATACACACATTTAAATATACTAGTTTTTACATGTGCGTTGCACGGCATAAACAACAAACAAATTGCTTATGAAGCCGTCTGGCTAGTCAAAGATCTACACTTGCAATTTTGTATGATAATTGATTAATTGTACTTTCAAATACACATTTTAGCTTGAGCAATCATTTGTCTTTTTAACATCCCAGAGATACTTTCCTGTCACATTATCTATAATTTTATAGTTTTATATAGTAAAGTTAAGTTAAAAACTAATGATTTGTCAGCCTCCTATGTGATAATGCAAATTATATTATCACAACAACTAAAACAAATAATTTAACTAGCTACATCACACGGCTATTTAAACAAAACTCCCTATATTACAATTGATTTAGAGCAAAAAAAAGGAGAATAATCTCTATATTACAATTGATATAACTTTCATATTTATAATCCTATTTTTACAAAACCTATATCAAAATTCATAACTTTTTATAATCTTTCATATGACACCAGTATTATATATATACAAATAAAAAATATTTATTACTCCCTGCATCCCGTAGAAAGGCTTCGGTTTACAATATTTGACTGACCATAAAGTTAATTAATCCTATCCGTAATTAGATTCTTTTTGAAAAATAAAATTTACATATACATAGATTGCATCAAAAGTTTTATAAAGTCGCAAAAGAAAAACTCAAATATAATAAAAATTGGATATATAAAGTAATAGATGAAAAAGGCTTTATATTGACCGGATAATAGTGGACGAGAACTTTTGAATGAGATGAATGTAGTATTTTATATAGCAAAACTGAGATAAAAATTCTATTGATTTATAGAAATTCTATTATCACTACTACTAAAACATTCTATTGATGCTATATTTCTGTTTGTTCTGGTATGGTGTGGTCCGGAACTGAAAATAATTTAAGTAAAAATATCCTGATCTCATTGCCAACAACATTAAATAAATGTTTTCTCTAGCTACTTTTTAAAATTGAGTCTTACTATATAAAAAAATAGATACTCAATCACATAAAAAATATTTAGATCAGATCGAAATTATTCAGAACAGATTAAAATCATAAAAACTCAGAACAAATTTGAAAGATTCAGATGAGATCAAAAAAATTCATATCGAGGATCATACAAGATCAGATCAACAACAAACAACAACAACATCCAAGCCTTAGTCCCAAAAGATATTGGAGTCGGCTAACATGAATCGATACATGATAACACCACCAAAAGGAAAAGAAAGAAAATAAAGATAAAAAAATAAGCTATTATAAAAAAGATAGTATAAAACAGGATGAATATACTTAAAAATAATAAAATAAAAAGGATAAAAATAATGTTTATATATATAAGGATAAAAGAATAAAAACAAGAAGAAAAAAGATGAGGGGAAATAATAATAATAATAATACGAGATCACTCCTCCACACGAATACCCGCCCTCCACTTTGCTCTCTCCAAAGTCATACCCTCATCCAACCCAAGAAGAAGCATATCACTTCGGACTGCCCTGACCCACGTCTGTTTGGGTCTTCCTCTCCCTCTCTTCCCTGCCTCTTCTCCAGACATCTCAACACGTCTGACAGGTGCACCATTCGATCTCCTACGCACATGACCAAACCACCGTAGGATACAAGATCAAATCAGATATTAAAAAATTTCAAATCATAAATATTCATATCAGGCGTATTGAACAACTTCTTAATCCAACCATATTAATGGAGTATAATTCTCGAAATAAATATCATATCAATTCAGTTTCCAAAATAATTGTACAACATCAAATTCTGGACCTGCTGCCATGCCGACCAAAAGTCTTTGACGGTTTGACCCGAACTAAAATGGCTTCGAGATCGCGGACTAATATTCTGCTGCACACTTTCATTTCTGGCCGGCCACAAACCCCAACAAACCTTAACCATGAGGCCACAATCCTCTTTAATCTTTATTACTCCCTCCGCCCCGCTATGATTGTCTCATTTTACCATTTCGGTCCGTCCCACTAAGATTGTCTCATACCTTATTTGGTAAAGTTTGTGTAGTTCTAAATCATTCCTACTTTATTCTTACTTTATCAATTCAATATCAACCACATAAACTTACTTTTATTAATAACCGTGTCACCTTCTCTTGTCCCAAACTTAGTGGGACGGAAGTAGTACTTCCTACACAAAAGCCTACAACCTACCAACAAAAGAAACGCCCCCACTCCTAGTCAAATCCCAACCTGATTGCCGCCACACCAGCTGTGCAACCCAGTAGGAAACAAATAAATGATGTGAGGATTCTATTGCAACTCCACACGGTCCTCACAACTCCAACCCGTGCGCATGCCTTCCACGTAAAGCGTCAACCATAGGAAGGCACTCGGTACAAGTTTCAATACTAATAGTATTAAACTCTTGAAGAATAATGTAATGTTTTCATTCACCAACAAGTTTTCAAATATCTATATTATATAAGAATATATATTAACAAACTGCATTTTCTCATATTCCCGCCTTCACTTTCTACTATAGTCTTTAACCCAAATATGTGGAAAAAGATCTAAATAGAGAAGCTACATTTTGCAAAGATGAATAATGTCACTGCAGTTTGTGAAGTAAATGAAAAAAGATCTGAACCATTCCTGTACTCTAAAACCGTTGTCGAGGAATATGACATAATGAAAATGGTCCAAATAAGATAGTTATGAAAGTTTACATGTTGAAATAAAAGATGGCACAAATAGCCATACACACAAAATACACACGACATATATACCTCCTTTACTCCTTAGGAAGTATTTCCATATTAATTGTTTCATTGATGTGTTCAAAGGACTAAAACCCCGATCTCTAGGGGGGGAGGTAAATAAACACATCATTTTTAATTGAGGTGTTTTAGGATATGTTTTATTATTTTCAAGAAATAATTTCCATCCCAGCCCTCAAAACTCTCTTCATCCAAAATTAGAAGATGTACATTGGGTCAAAAATCATCAAAAACTGACTTTTCGTAGACAAAGAATCGCCCCTAAGTCATTGCGTAGGAGTTAGGACACCATATAGTCATATATCCTAATCAAAATTTGGAATCTATCGATCACTTACATGCATAACTTTCAATATTAGTTGTTTCACCAATGGAGAGATTTGAATACGAAATATTACATGCTAAATCCAATATACATCTCTGTTATGGTCTTGTTGACATAGTAGAAAAAAGACATTTGACTAATGACCTATGATCGAACTACATTTACTACCTTCTCTAAAATTTACCAAAAGACACTTTAGTACTCCCTCCGTATCAAATTAATTGACCCGCTTTCCTTTTCGGGACGTATCAAAATAAAAGTCTCATTTCCCTTTTTGGAAATAAACTCACCCAAAAAGCAGCTACAGTACTGCTACAGTACTGCTACAGTACCGCTACAGTACCGCTACCTCATACTTTACATATATTTGCCTTAAACTACGTGAAAAAGCATATGGGTCAATTAATTTGATACGGAGGGAGTAATACACTTTCTTAAAAAAAAGAGGAAGCAACCGTGAAATGTCTAATTTCAAGCTGCTTTGACTTTTGCAGTTCATTTTTCAACTTTTAAACGTGATTTTTATTCCACGGCATTCAATGTTTGAAAGAAAAAGAATTAGATGGCAGGTAAGTAAAGATGTAACTTTGTGCAGTATTATTTTATTTCATGAAAATATAATTTAATTTTATAAATTCCCAAAATAAAAGGTTCTAAACATAAAAGGTGACAACTCCGGTACCCATTTAAAAAATGAAGTACCGTACCTACCACTCACATGATTGGTCCAAATCATTATATCATTTTTAATTTAGATTTAAATAATTCAACTGCAACATTCTGATTGGTCCAAGTGGACAAAGGTATGGTCCTTTTGGGTACCATAGAATCTACCAACATAAAATGAAATCTTATACAGAGTACGAAGTACTCCGTATGAACTCTCAATCTAATCATTTGTCATGCATTCGTTTCTTTACCCACTTTTCGTACTCCCTCAGTCCCAGAAAATTATTTCTACATACCTTTTTTGGTCATCCCAAAACAAAAAAAATCTCATTTCACATTTTGGAAAGATTTGTGTGACTATCATTCATTTACCATTTTCTTACTCAAGTGCAACCATACATTTCAGCTTTATTTTCATTTTGTTAAACTCTCATCTAAGTCAAACCGGAAAGTCTTTTGCAGGACGGAGAGAGTACTTTCCAACCTGACCAAATTCCAGTTCTGGTTTCAATTTTAAACGATATGAATGGAACTCAAAATCTATTGGGTCCCGGTTTGGAACGGGTCGACCCGTATCCCACTCCAATTAGTTAAGGAGTAACGACAGATTCAGCCGTCACATTAAAAAAGGCCCTATGTTTTTGTTTTCTTCTATTTTTGAAGATCATTTCACAATTTCACATCACACTATATTTTTATATTAATCACTAAATAAAATCCTTATGCATTTATGGTACTCCATAATAAATTTGAATAGTGATCGTTTTATTGCAGGTCAATAAAGCTTGACTACTTCAACAGGGGCCCCACACACATAACCAAAGTACCAAACAGCCATTGCCATGTAATCTCAGCGTCCGCTATTTCAATTACCCGAAATACCCCTCGTCTGCACGTTAGGAAAATGCCGAAAATAACCTTCCATCTCCCCGGGATTCCCTATATAAACCGATTCTCATTTTACTCGCTTTTATCTCAGAGATTTGGTTATCTTCTTCTTCTTCGCATTTAATTTCATTTCTCTCTTTCAAGTTTCAATACATCGCTTTTCCGGTCTGGCTAACATTCAGGAGAAAAGTCTGGAAGAATCCAGAAACAAGAGGGTGGTGCTCGCCCTATATGAAGCCTTGAGTTCACGGGACGTCGATCTGGTCCAGAAGCTTCTGGCCGCCGACCTCGAGTGGTGGTTCCACGGCCCGCCGTCGCACCAATTTTTGATGCGCACCCTCACCGGCGCTGCCGCTCCGTCCGATTCGTTCCGGTTCGTGCCGCTCACCGTTGACGCCATTGGCCCCACCGTCTTCGTCGAGGGCTGCGATTCTGATCGCAACATCACCTGGGTCCACGCCTGGACCGTCACGGATGGGATAATCACCCAGGTCCGGGAGTATTTCAACACATCCCTCACCGTGACCCGACTCGGAAACCAAGCCCGGTCCAGCTCCTTCACTCCCGCCCGCTGCCCCTCTGTTTGGGAGAGTAGTCTCTCAAATCGGGTCGGTAAATCAGTGCCGGGCCTCGTTTTGGCTATTTAATCGGGCCCACCCGGCCCGGCCTCGTCACTACAGTACCCGAACTGGCGCGTGTTTGTTTTCGTATACTGTGCTTGTCCACCGTTACTATCCTGCGACTGCGGAGCTTGACGGCTAGGATGTGTCAGAATTTGGTTTGACTTTTCTTTTAAAAATCTTGTGGTCTGTTTGGTTTATTTTATATTTTGTGTTAAGTAGAGGACAAAGCTTGTTGCCCGAGTCAAACGGGGACCATGACGGTTCGTAGGCCTCTGGATTGCGGGTGTAAGACTATGTCCAATGTAATACGCGTTTGGATTGCAATAAAGTTGTTTCTGTTCAAATTGTGTACATATATGGGAACTGCCATTCCTAGTCCCTACCGTTTTGGGGATTCTAAATGTTTGGGACCTTCATATCTAATATTGTTACGTCACCTAGTTACATACAAGTATATACTTAGTATATATCTAAATGTTTGGGACCTTCATATCTATATTTGGATGGTTTTGAGTTTCAAATCAAACTAGATTAAATTAGATTTGTAAAATTACAAAATATATAGATTTCAGATATCTATACATCAAACAAGTTCAAACCAGGCCAGATAAGACTATATTGGAAAATTTCAATACAATAAAAAAACATCCTATATGTCGATGACTTGGTCGAAAACATCTACTTTGTTCTACCAAACATACATTAAAATAATACTACCTCCGCCCCCTAAGTTTGGGACAAAGGGGTGTGGTGTTGTTTTTTGAAAAAGTGGAATTGTGTGGTTGATATTGAATTGGTAAAGTGTAAATAAAGTAGGAATGAATTCTAACCACTCAAATATTAGTTAATATGGTATGAGACAAATTTAATGGATCGAGCGAAAAAGGTAAAACGGGACAAAGCTAGGTATTGGGGACTTACGCCTTCAAATCATGCACTATATTTGTATCCACATAGGAAATGCACCATCGAAAGCCTTCTCAATTGACTAACGAATAGAGTCAATTCCCAAAATATCAAAGAGGAATATTTTTCCAAAATTACTAAAAGTATGAATTAGTTCCTTATTCTAAGAAATCTATTCTATTTATATACTTCGTATAAGAAAAGAAATAGCTCATAAAAATACAATTCTACCCTTAATGAATCCTAGGTTTCTAGCTCTCCTTAGTTCTCTCATTCGTTATAGCAATGCCACGTGGCCATTTAACTTCAAACTACCGAACTTCTCCAATAGAATAGAAGAGAGCAGTCGTAGGAGATAAAGTTGGTGGGCCCAATCTATAAAACCCCCAATTTTCTTTAAAGTGTTATAACGGTCTCCATAATTATGCTTTAAAATGTTTATATACATTTTCTAATCTATTTTGCTGTCTGAATTGGGGAAGTTACTGTAAGTGATCATTTTTAGCTATATTTCATATAATGTTTTTCTTTATTTCATTAATAAAAGTAACTTAAATTAAATTTATCCATACACCAAAAGTTCCAACTAATTCAACCACTTCTCTGAGAATTTCATCCATTTCAACAGATTCAACTAATTTCAGTACTACTAAACGGTCTCCAAAATCAAAATCAGAACATGAAAGGAAAAAATCTAAAAATACTAAATTTATTTAAGAAAACTTTCTTAAAGTGTTTTATAATCTGATGTGCACTGGTTTGATATATAAAAAATCCGCAAATGAAAATCTAATTAGTTCTAATACAAAAATTTCGAGTTCGTCTATTTGGTTGTGTTTTGAGTTGGTCTAAATTGAAAACGATGAGTGATTTGAATTCATCAACTCTACGGTTAATAAAAATCTAATGTTATTTTCATTTTTTATTCTACTCCCTTCGTTAAACTATTACAAACCTTATTTCTTCCTATTATAATGTCACTTGAGAATAAAAAATTAGCAAATGAAAATAATAAACACACCAAGTGCTAATAAAACAAAACTTCTGAATTTAGTTCAATTTATTATTCTTTATTTTTAAGGAAAAGGGGGGCAAATATGAAAATATATACTATATTTATCATTATTGGTTTGTTTTAAACATATTTGATCTATTTAATTTTAGTTTTATTAAAAATATTTTTTTGACTTATTCGGCCAAAGTTACTGTACATAATCATTTTTAACTACTTTCCATATAAATCTTTTATTTACTTCATTAATAAAATATAATTTAAACTAAATTCATCCATAAATCAAAAGAATCAATTTAAATCAGTTCAGCCACTTCTGTCAAAATTTCATCAATTTTAAAAGAATCGGGTGAAGTAGCTAATAAATTTGGCTAATAAAAAGGGACTTTTTGAAAAGAAAAAAAAGACTAATAAAAGTAAAAAAATGAGAATGTTAAAGAATCATATTTCATTAAAAATCAACATGTTGGAATAATGTCTTTATAATAGTAATATGTAATTGGTTCAAAAATATAAGTATACTTGAATTTGGTTATTATGTGGACTTCCTATTATGTACTAATGTACATGCAAACGAGATAGACTTACAAAAGAGTTTCAGGTGATTCCTAATGTAGCAACTGACTAAGATTCATTTACCTTTTTTACTCAACAACAACCTCACGTTTTCAATTTATTCCCACAACCTCACGTTTTTAAATCATGTTCATAGTATCATAGTTTTGGGTGAGAGAGAATCACCGTTGATTTATCAATATATGATGAAATTATATGGTTCTTAAAGAAAATTTATTTGTTAACGAGTCAATGGACCATGAAAGAAGCACTAGAGTAGATTATCAACTCAAATAAGAAGCCAAATGAAAATAAACTTGCAAATCAAAAGCTCACACTATTCATGATAATAAACCTGCATCGTAGAAGTTCTTTCAATCGAAAAGATATACTCTGTATGAAAAAAAAATCAAAGAACTAACAATCAAAAGGTGGAAAGTTATGTCAGATTAATAGACAACAAGTTAATCAAAATGGAATTATGTAATTAAGTAATGAAAATGTGGAAGACGGTGAAACAAAATTGTTATTAGGTGAATCATTACACATTTGTGGATGATGTGGGATAGTTTTCTTTCTTATATATAATGTTTTTAGGCATAAGATAAGTCGGCTAACAATTGAGGGAAATAATTTTCTCTCTCATATGTAGTGCTTTTAAGTATAGGGAAAACTAATTAAAATACTCCAAACTTTGAAGGGGTGTGAGATAAACATCCAAACTTGGATATGTAATTTAAATACCCCAAACTTTATATAAAAAGTTATTTTAACACCATGGTCATGCATTATTTCTTTCAAAAATGTAAATTTATTATGTTAATTGCATAATTTAAAATAGCAAATTGAAAACGTTGCAACTATATACAGTGGGGGTAATACTATTTATTTTACAATGAAAGTTTAGAATGTTAATTGTATCCTTATGAATACTAAATATATTCAAATTATGAAATAAACACAAAAAATTAACATTTTTGAAAGCAATAATACATGACCATGGTGCTAAAATAACTTTTGATATAAAGTTTGGGGTATTTAAATTACATATGCAAGTTTGGGGTGCTTACCTCACACCCCATCAAAGTTAATTTTCTCTTAAGTATATGATAAGTCGTTAACAATTGAGCGGCCACAATTTCTCTCTCATATGTAGTACTTTTAGGTATAAGAAGATAAACCGACTAACAATATAATTGAGTGGGATAACTTTCTCTCTCATTTGTAGTGCTTTTTAGTAAGATAGTAAGATAAGCCAGCTAACAATTGAGCGGAAAAATTTGTTCTTTCATATATTGCATTTGGGTATAAGACACGGCTAACAAATGAGAGGGATAATTTTCTATCTCATATGTACTACCTTTAGTTATTAGAAGATAAACTTGCTAAAAATTGAGCGAAAGAACTTTATCTCATATATAGTTCTTTTAAGTATAAGATAATCCAGCTAGCAATTGAACGAAATAATTTCTCTCTCTCATATATAGTGTTTTTAGGTATGAGATAAACCGGCTAACAATTGAGCTACAGAACTTTCTCTCTCATATGTAAGAGTTTTAAATATAAAAAAATATAAGCTTACTAATAATTGAGCCAGAAGATTTTTTGTTTCATTTGTAGTGCTTTTAGGTATTAGAAGATAGAAGATAAGTTTGCTAACAATTGAGAAGAAGAATTGAGCGAGAGGATTTTATTGCTCATATGTAGTTAGGTGCTTTTAGGTATTACATAGTAGAAGATAAGTTTGGCTTGCTAACAATTGAGCGGAATAACTTTCCCCTCATATGTAGTTCTAAGAATAAAATAAGAAGACTAAACAATTGAGCGGGATAATTTTCTCTCATATGTAGTGTTTTTATGCATAAGAAGAAGCTAAGAACATAAAATTGCTAACAATTGAGTGAGAGAACTTTCACTCTCACGGGTAGATCTTCTTAAGTACTCCGTATATAAGATGATCCGGCTAACCGTTGAGCATTAAAATTTTTCTCTTCCATATGTAGTGCTTTTAGGTATAACATAAGCAGACTAATAATTGAATGAGAGAATTTTCTCTCTCATATGTAGGTTTTTTAGATATGACAAGATAAGCTTGCTTGCTAATAATTAAGAGAAAAATTTCTCTCTCATATGTAGTGTTTTTAGTTATTACAAAATAAAGTTGCTAACAATTGAGTGGTGAAATCATCATATATGTAGTTGTTTTTAGTATAAGATAAGGCGGCTAATAATTAAAGAGTATAATTTTGTCTCTCATACATAAGATAAGATAATCTGGCTAACAATTGGGTGGGAGAATTTTTTCTCATGTGTAGTTGTTTTAGGTATAACAAGATAAGCCGGCTAAAGATTGAACATGATAGTTTTCTCTCACATATGTTAGCTCTAATTTACTAATGAATGACAAGTTATTATTTAACTAATATTCGTTAATTTTAATATTTATTGTATTCACTTAAACTTTACTCACTTAACTTTAAAATTAATCTAATCATGAAAATGAATAAGTAGCAAATTCTAATGAGTAGTGTCAATTAACTTTTCCTAATATACTCTCTATTGAATATATATTCTATGGGCCTATATTTTATGGTATTAGCTTACTGAACTACTATTTTTTTCGAAAATGTAGAATTCTAAAAAGTTGTTTTTATTTTAATATTTAATTAGATCATGAATAAAAATATATGCAACAACTGCTCTATCCTGTGCGTATGCACATGTACTATACTAGTACTAATGAAAAATGAATACGTTATTTTCCCAAATTGTGCATACCACTTGCAATTAAATAGCAAAATAAGTGACTCCCAGACTCCCAGTATCTAAGCTTGAATGCAGTCGTGGAATCCCAAAAAAAAAGCTCCGATGGTCATGAAAACATTTACGTATCATATATTGGGAAGAATAACTAATAGAGTTATATGTAAGGAAAAAATGTTGCAGCCTAAACATACATTCAATCGAATTTTAAAAGAGAATATTACCTGAAATAGGACTAAAAAGGTTTGAAAATTCC